TGAGCGCAGAGAGGATTTACAAGAATAAGAAATGCTTCTACAGTAACAAAGGTAATTGTATTAAGTACTTAATAGGTGCCAGACACTGCTGGCTAAAAAAAAAAAAAAGGCAGAATAAGGCTATGAAATGAAAAATAATCCATAATGTTAGCATTTTCAAAGAATAGCTAGTATCTCCTAATATACTTCATAAGCATTTTTTTTTATATAGGACTATATGAGCACTACTTATATAGGATTCTATCTTGTCATTCTGTCAAGGATTTAGGTTCAACTCCTTAGAGTAATCTATTCTTTTTGAAGGTAAGGGTTCTTTTTGTTTTACTGGGTGGGGGGAGGGGTTGTTGCTGTGTTTTGTTTTGTTCTTATAATATGACTTCTCATTCTTTCAGCTAACTTACTAAGAACCATTTGGAACATAAGCAAGCTGACCCTCGTCGTAGTCAGAGATGACACGGGTCTTCACTAGCTACTAGCAGAGATTATTATTGAGTGGAATTCTACCCAAAGAATTGTTGACAATTCAGCCTCTGGCTTCTGTGGCCAAAGGCAAATCCAACAACACTGTTTATTTTCTTTTTGCCAAGTGTTAGGCCATATCCCATCACAGTCTAACAATCCCAAAGAGACGATTGCCAAATCATTGGCCAGTTTTCAGAATGGCTACCCCTTTCTTGCTGTGGAACTCAAAATGCTCAATTATCATGAAGGGAGGCAGATGCTCTACTGGATCAGTGGTTCAGGACCATTAAGGATTTCATCTTTTAAAAAGGAACAGGTGACATTGACCATGGTCAAGAGGAGCAAAAGTTTTTAGTAACTGGATGCTGAAAGCATGAGAATCATTCCGGAGGATTAGGTTCTCTGTCCCACATCTGTCCCTTGGGGCAGTTGTCGGTTGCCCAGTGCACTGCTGCCGTCTCTCACTCGGCACCTCAATCCCCAGCTTAAACAGCAGTGTTATTTCTGTCAGGTGTGGAGTGATGGCCTCTGTCTGCCGAGGAGAAGCCTGGTCCAACAATGTTCTAAATTCACCCCCTGGCCTTCCCCGAGGGAAGCACTCTGACAACAGAAGCAGTGGCATTTGACCATTCATTGACAGTCCCTGTACGATGACAGAAATTCTTTGCTTCTGCAGAGAATCTGAACATTTCTTTCATTTCGAATGGGGGCTTTGCACTTTTGTTACCCTCACGATCAGTTCACAGTCTGGTTTTATGGCTTAGACATTGAGCGTAAGCCTAGACTTGCAGCCACCACAGAGAGTCAGCTAAGAGGCAAATCCCTCTGCCCTGGGTCAGAGAAGGTGCAATCCCCAGGACAAGTTCTCCAAGAAAATCTCCTCTCTGCTAATGCCTTCCAACTGCAGCCCACCCTTCTCCGGACCACTCAAGAATTCCCCTGTTCACACAGCTCCATCTGCTTGTCTATTAGTCAGTCGTTCTTTGGGGTTCCTCGGTTTGTTCTTTTTGTAATGCATGAATTCCAGTGGAGCTTTTTCACAAGAGAGCGCTACAATTAAGGCAAAACTGAAATGATAGCCTCGCAATCCAAAGTAGCTTAAGTCATTTTTAAGTGCCTTAGAGAATAAGACTGAGCTATCTCACCTCCCTTCCCTTCCTCCAGCCCCTCCACTCGCTCCAGCTCAGCACCTTCTGGAGGCAAGATTTCACACTCAGATAAGGCCCCTCCCCTAGGACTCCTATCTTACAAATGTCTGATAGAGCACACTCTGCGGTCCTCTGAGGCCCAGCACTACCCCCAAGTCACTTCTCTTTCCATTCAAACCAAAAGCATGCGGGTGCTCTGGGTAACTTTATGGTAACCAAGAGAATGGCTCTTCTGTTCCATGTCATTGACGTCTAGCTTGTTTTGTGCAGAATTTTATCTTCCAGCACCTCGAAATCCATACCAGCTTTAAAGACCTCCAAACAAGTGAGTTTCACACTCTGTTAATAAATGTGCCCAAACACTGAAAATAAAGCTCAGGCTTTGATTCTGATACTTCTCACTTTGCTAAACTCTGCTGTTCTGTCTACTAGAGAACCCTCACTACCCTCTTCTCTCCTTTTAATGAAAATTAGAAGGAAGCATTTTTGTCTATTTGGTCACTCATTCATTCGATTCACTCTTGGGGAATGTAAAAGGACAACTCTTCTAATTTTGTATTTTCACATTTCTCATCTTGTTTAAAAAGAAAAACAAATTCTGCCGAGCACTTTGTTCATGCCAGACTTTCCTAATGAAGAGCTTGCATAGGCTTGCTGTTCACAGGATTGAAAAATAGGTTCCAACTTCTAATATGACCATTTGCACTTGTAGGTATGGGGCATTAGTTCCTAAATATTAATGAGGATGTCCTTAAGTATTAGAAAATGGCTATCAGAATTCTATTCTAATAGGTTATTCTTCATGCAGCCTTCCTGGGAGGATTTCCTCTTATACCTTAGGATTTCTTATTGAAAAGGGGACTTCTATGGGCAATGGAGAAGCCCTGTTGCCTTCTCCTTCAACGGGATACCATCATGTCTTGGCAACAGTTTTAGGGTTTACATATTGGATCATAATGTGTTTCCCTGTCCAGAATCAGGGACAGATTCCCTTACCAAATCAAGACAGTGTGCCCAATACAGCCTATGAAAAACCTTATAGAGGTGAAGATTATTTGCATAGAACATACCATATATTTTAGAATATATTCTTTTTCCGAGATTCTAATTCATAACAATATAAGCTGACTTTCTTGTTTCTTTTCTTTTTATTTTGAGTTCGTGTTAGAGAACAGATGCTGACTAAGATTAACACTAAATTAAGGAGCCCCGGTGTCACAGTGGTTACGTGCTCAACTGCTAACGGAATCGTTGGCAGTTAGAACGCACCAGACCCTCCCTGGGGAGAAAGCTGTGCCAGTGGGCTTTCATAAAGATGAAGCCTTGGGAAGGCTATGGGACAGTTCTATTGGGCCCTGTAGGGCTGCTGTGAGTCGGAACTTGACAGCACTGGAGTGGGGTTTCAGCTTGGGTCAGCAAGCATTCAATTATATTCCAGACTGTAAAACAACATTAGCATTTTGTGTATGTGTACACATACCTGAGTTTCATAGTTATAAGACAGTATAACCTGAACAAAATAAAACTTCCATATGTGAACGTAGTTCAGGTGTGTATTTTTTAATAGAAAATAATTATCCATGTTGTTCCGTTTCATTGGCTTCCACACCTGATTTTTCACTTTTTCATGATTTGATAAAAAGCATTCAAAAGTCATCAGCGTGTAGAATTCTACAAGGTGTAGGTTTGATTCCCATCGTACTGATACAATTGATAATTAGTTTTGACAGTTCATTTGATCATTGAGGTACTATACACTTTCGCTGCCTTAAGTTTGTGATGGTTACATAAGGGGTTCTTAAGTGCCCTGACCTTTGAATTCGATAGTCTGTGGGTTAGAGTAGAACAGGCTACAAGACCTGGAATGAATGTGTCTGGGAGGTCATCTCATGTTTTACAGGTGAAAAAATCGAGGATTGGAAAAATGATTAAATGTTTCCATAGACATTCACAGACAGGGGTTGGCCCTCCGCCAGGACTCTGTCTTCTGTACAGCGTTTCAATTATGCACAATAAATCTTAGTAACACTTAAGGAAATTGATTTTAAGCCAAACTCTGTTGCTCACGAAGGAGTGAGCAGAAATTGCCCCGCAAGTCATTGTTCCTTCAGCTAAACTTCAGTACAATCAAAACAATCTTCTAGGGCTAACATGATATCTCTATTAATAACAGTAGTAATAAAACCTTACTTGACTGCAGCACATTAAAATGACTTTAACATTCTATATCAATACAGCTTTTTAAAAGCCTCTCATTTCCTTATCAGAAATATAATTCCCCACATTTTTGTTTACTGATTGATTATTTTAGAAGTCTGAAAGCCATTCATTAAACAGACAATGAAAGTTTTAAATATTTGGCATACAACTGTGTTAACCATGTGGCACCATTAATCTCATATATTGTTTTCTGTCAAATTGAGCACCCATAATACATGAATGTGATATACTAATAATGTCGTTCATGTACTAACAATGCAAACAAGTTTGTCTCTTAGAAATTTTAAACCTTTAGTGTATATAGTGCAGTGTTATATTTTATTCCATTAAATTTAATACTATTGTAATTGGTTATTAATAATAACCGCTAAATAATAAATCCAGTCTTGATATTTCAACATGAAAAATAACTGATTTCAGGGAAAACAAAACTATTCTGTTAAAAATCATAGAATTAACATGTTTTCCAACTCACTTTTATTTCCTCACATTTTTATGTCTCCTAAGACAACACAGATGTTTGTGGCATAGAAGATTTAGATAAAGGAAATGCTTAGAGAAATCTATTTTTAGCCTATGTAGATAATTTTAAAAGTTAATACAAGCTTATTATAACATAAACTGATAAGAACCGCACAGATTCCCTTCTGCAATATGACTGTACACAACTGCACAAATCACCAAAGGCATTTTTTCCTTTTAGCATAGAAATATTTCATGGAAATATTCTTTAAAAGGAAATAAGATCAATAAAAAAATACCAATTCTCTATACCTCAGACTAGTTATCAGTAGCCCCCTCCCCCCCAGTGAGTATTTACTAATCCTGTATTAGAATGCCAAATAAGTTCTGCTAGAAGATAATCAATCACATTTTGGGGTGAATAAAAGTATTTACATTTTGTTTAGCTGATGAACATTTGAGTGTATGCTTCCAAATTGGCTCAGTTTATCCACTCAAATCATAACATTCGTAGATCTGCCCTGTTGCTGGAAATGGTTTTAGGGACACAGAGCGATGCTCACACTGTTAAAACATCAGACGGTGGTTTTTAACTTTTTCTTTCCCACTCAAATAAGGAAAAGGGAGAGCATGCCTGATCTAATCATTCCTCCTTTCACAGACGGTGCGGCTCTGTAAGCAGTGATTTAGGTAAAAGACTTTACTTACTGTAATTGTTCTTCATCTCTTGGGTCCCTTTTACTTTGCCTCGTTTATCAATCCTCAGATACCACTGTGTGCGACAGAAGAGTCTTCGCACTCTTATATCCCCTCCTTCCATGTAATCATAACTTCTTGTATGTCGCTCGGGGCTGGAGCAGTTCACATTCGTAACCATTTGCTCTGCGGTCATGTCATTGCAAGCTGAAGATGGGGCGCCCACGAGACAGATAATGGGGAAGCTTGATCTGTACAGCAGGGTTGGCAGGATCCATGTCAGTATCCATTTGTGCATTATAGTGTAGTGCTCCGGGTGTGCATGAATAACATAATGAGAAACAAATCTTGAGTGGTTGTTGCTCCTAGGGTATTGACTTCTTCCTATCTGGGAACTGCCGATTGATTTAAGAACGAGTACTTGCTTTTTCCCAACTCTTCGCCTTATCCTTCTTTAAGTTCCTGATTCAAAAGCAGGATTCCTCCTTTTGAGAACGCTCTGTTGGTATATCCTTATCAAAACAGGTTGTCCTAAGCTCAGTTGCTGCGATGCTGTTTGCTACTTGACTTCTGTTTGCAATGAGAGATTAAGAATGGGAAGGGAAGGAGACAGGAAGACGAACAATTGGATCACAAACTGCAGTCGGCAAATCGTACTATAACCTATAGTGCAGCATACACTGTTGAGGTCCATTCAAAACAGCTTTCACATCTTTAGCACTGTGCACAGATTTTGAAAGGTATGCACTAATAGAGATCCATCAGAATGCCTACGATTTTATCATTCATTTCTCTTGTTATTTTGCATGAAACAGCATACAATTAGAGCTTATTTAAACCCACTTTTAAACTTACTATTAACAATGCTTGCCCTCCTTTTCTTTATTATATGCTTTTACATTTGTGGTTAACCAATTATTTCCCCCCTAACTGCTCCCATTTCTCAAATTAAATGTCAAGATTTCTCTGGAGAACTTCAACTTTCTATAAATTCTACAGCCTAATTGTTATAGATACACATCTCAAAACTCTGGTAACTTTACTTATCCTCTTAGTACTAAAAGCAGAGAAACATATAAACGATTTGAAAACATTCAGCATTAGCTTAAAAGACAAATAACGGTAACTTACTTGGTCTGTTGATAACAGCTGGATGCACAAGAATTCCATGTCTGTTGTCTGCCTTGTGCAACTTGAGCCTCTCTACTGTAGCTACAAACTATTTCTCAGCCGAGAAAGTCCCCAGAAGAGTCATATTGTTTCCATAAATCAGCAGGCAAGAGGCTTTCCCCTGTGTGCGTGAGCGCGTGTGTGCTGGCTTGTGTGTGTGTGTGGAGCCTTTTATTCAGCGCTTTTCAATAAATACCTATGCTGACCTCATTGGGAGCAATTAAAACTTAACCAGTGAGCTGTTAGTTGAGTGTAACAGCAAGCGTAAGAGGACGTTTACATAGTATCCGATGGTCATCAGAGGGAGCTATGAACATAGTTTATGCTCAAATCCACAAGAGGGAATCCACTTAGGGAGAAACGGATCTCTGATTCTGAAGTATTGCAAGCAGGAAAATGATCTTTTTTTTTGTTTAACCTGTACCACATAACAGTTGTACATAGTTTGAAAAATATTTTAGCATATGAGGGGGCTTCAAAAACCTCGTGGGGGAAAAAAGCCATTATCTTTTCATCCTGTTTTCCCACAAAGTATTTGAGGCCTCAGCTTATATTTGAAGGAGTCGTTAGTTAGAAAAGTTTTCATAGCTTTATTACACAGGCATGCTTTTCTGCTACGACCCTTTAATGTTAGAAAAGAAGTACTCATTTGTATTGTGCACTCATGTCTGAGTGTCTTAAAACATTATATATCTTCCTACAGAGAACAGTCTTAATTGCAATATAAATATAATTTTTACGTTTCCGATTTCTAGACTTCAAATGAGAAGACTGGGGTCCTTATTTGAGTTGGGTCACGGATTACCAATGTGACCTGGGACAAGTCATTCGCATCCCCGAGTCTCAGCTCCCACACTTGTGAACACTAGTCTAAGCGGTCCTATGCTGCCTTTTAATATTAAAATGTTGTGATTTGTGATGTATTGAACTATTCATGTGAGGACGATGATATGTCATTTAAAAAAATAATTATTCTTAAATATAAACTGTTTTCTTTAGGCACTAATGTTTACTCTTACCTCAGTAAGGAAACCAACACATGAAATAAATATTACCTTAGGGAAAGCATTGTAAGAGCTATGAAACAAAACAAACAAGCAAACTATCTCACTGCTCTCAAGTCTGTACTGACGCATAGCAACCCTGCCGGACAGAGCACAGCTGTCCCCTTTGTTTTGCTGAGGCCACGCATCTTTAGGGGGACACAAACCTCCTGTGGGTTCAAAATGCCAACCTTGCAGGGAGCAGCCGAATATTTAACCCACTAAACCACCAGAGCTGTCGCAGAGCTACAGCTAATGTAAGGTGTTCGCTCTCCCTTTGATTTCCTGTTTAGCTTATATATAGTCCTGCGCATGTCTTTAAAAATAATTGGTGCCGAATAATTGCATTATTAATCTAAATCAATATTTAGATATACATTTTGAAGTTTTCTTTCCCAATGTATTTCTCTCTCTCTCTCTCTCTCTCTCTCTCTCTCTCTCTCTCTCACACACACACACACACACACACACAGAGCTTCTGTACTTGCAATGCACTAAATTACCACCAGGTGGTGCATGTAGACCAAATAGGATTAAGTCCTTTCCATTGGCTTCTGTTACGTGATTTGTGATTTCCCTTTGTGTTTTTGTTTTGAGGGAGCAAGTCAAGAGTACCGAATAGGTTTTAAAGTATCCCATTACTCTTTAGGCACCAAGTATTGAAAACTATCATTTTATTAAAGCAGAGGAAAATGAGCTTTTTCTATAATTTTATCTGTTGAAAGTTAGATGGCTGCAAAACATTTTATCATGCGTTTCTCAAAACGGAGGAGGCATAGAGAGTATGATGCTACTGTGTTGTGAATCATGCCCACTAGTTTGGTGGGCAAAATAATGAGCAAGGGTTAAAACTTTTAGAGTCACTGGCCCCTCGAAATAAATGAAAATTAACAATCAGTTCAAGAGCTACTAAATCTGTGCATTCTACACTTAACCCACAAGATTTTAAACCAAGCTATCAATAGATTAGAATTAATATTTGCTACGTACGACGCTCAAGACTAAAGTAAGTGGATAATGTATTCGTGGAAGAAAGAATGTGTACCACTGAGTCCGTTTCAACTCCTAGGGACTCGTGCTGACAGAGCAGAAGTGCACCCGTAGGGTTCTCAGGGCTGCCATCATGACAGAAACAGTGGTGATGAGGGTTCAAATCGAACCACAGACCTTTCAGATAGCAGCCACGTGCTTAACCACTGGACCACCAGGGTTCCTTAAAGACTGCATCCAAAACCCACGGCCACCAAGAAATTCTGACGCACACAACCCCATAGGACTGAATAGTAGCACGGGGGTGGGGGTGGGGGTTCTAAGGCTGTAAATATTCCTAGGGGAACCCTGTTGGTGTTGTCAGTTAAGCATTGGGCTGCTAACCACAGGGCTGGAGGTTCCAATCCATCAGCTGCTTAACAGAAGGAAGAGATGAGGCTGTCTACTCCCGGAAAGATTTGCAGTCCCAGAAAGCCGGCCCCCTGTGGCTCAGAATTGCCTTGACGCAGTGAGGAAGATCTTTGTCAACGAGGCCCGCCACATCTTTCTCTCTTGAGCAGCTGGTGGGTTCGAATCGTTGACCTTTTGTTTAACAGCCAAGGACTTTAAACACTGTGCCATCAGGGCTCCTAAACAGTATCTAGCGCTTCCTTCAAATCATATAGCATTGCCTGTGAACTTGGACAGTGAGAATGAAACTTTGACCTGGGCACTCTATACTCTATTATTCGAAAATGCGATTCTAATAATATCAATGAATAGACTGATTTCAATAAGCAAACTATATGAGGGATTTAAATATTTAGCCATTAGTTTCTTTCATGGAGATTCATTCATTCAGAATGGGACAACAACCTCCCGTAGACCTCATTGATGCCTTTGTGACACGTCTTGTCGAGAGAGAGTCTCCATGTGCTAAGGGGAACGCCAGAGGTCTCCAGAGAGGGTCATCCTTGTGAGGACGGGGCAAGCCCGAGCAGTGCTTTACTCTGCTGTACACGGAATCACTCTGAGTCAGAGGCAACTCACTGCACACAACAGCAACGAGAAGAGCGTCCAAGGAGCCCTCAGGATGCACCGGTTAGTGCTCCGCAGCTCATCGGGTCGGTGGTTCAAACTCACCAGCTGCTCGGTGGAAGTAGGATGACACAATCTGTTTCCAAAAGGATTTACTTCCGTGGAACCCTGGGGGGTAGTTCCACCGGGGTAGATCTACCCCAACTATAGACTAAATAGCCGCAGGTTTGGGGGGTTGTTTTTCCCCAGTATTCTTTGTAGTAATAAATGATATCAACAACTGTTTATTGGAATGTACAATCATTCCACTTCTCTTCAGGTGTTTTGTTGTTGTTTTTTTTATGGAAGTGGATTTTTTTAGTTTATTAGTGGATGAGGTAGGTTTTTTTTTTTAAATCAATTTATTGGGGCTCATAAAAGTCATCACAATACATAGATCAATTGTGTAGAGCACATCTATACATTTGTTGCCCTCATCATTCCCAAAATTCGCTTGCCTCTTGGGTTCCCGGAATCAGCTCATTTTCCTTTTTTCCTCCCCTCCCCCTCCCTTCCTCTGCCCCCCTCCCCCATGCATCCTTGATAATTTATAAATTATTATAAGATTTGAAACCCCCTCGTACAGTAAGTCTTGGCTGAGCACCTACGGCTGCCAGGAGTCAAAGCCAAACCAGAAAAGCCCTGGAGGGTAAATAAGAGCAACAACAACAACACTGGTACCTTAGACGACAGGGGAGAAGGCCCCTGGGAATTTCAGGGACTGCAACCCCTCACAGAAGTAGAGAGTCCTCTCTTTTCCCCTAGGGGAAATCGCAAGAAGCAGAGGCACAGAAAGACTTGAGGGAATTGTCTTTCCTTTGTTGCTTCTAGAATGTTTGAGTCGGCTTCATTTTCAATGAGAAAAATCTCATCTTTTGAGCTTTAAATGTGTAAAACAAAGGATTCTTAAAAAGTAACTTTTTGCTGGTGACCTTTGAAAGGAAAGGTTAGCTTCTGGGATTTTTCACAAAGAATCAATGCCAAATACTTGTTCTAGTTTGATTTGGAGATAGAAGAGATGAAAAGAATGCAGAGAATTTATTTCAAGTCATCTCATAAAAACATAGACAGGTGTTAAAAGAGTAATTAATCATTTAGTTTAAAGTTAAACAACCTCCCCTATTATCATTTAGCCCCAAAGCGGTCAATGTTAGAAAAATAACATTTAATTAATGGGTTCTAGTAATAGTTAATTTGAAACCTGTGACTCTTCACAGTTATGTGTCATATAATAGAGAATACTATCATTAAACATTGTCACTATATACTACCCTGTTGCTTATTTTCCAGTTTCCATCACTTCCCCCAAATATAAGTAAATAGTGTTATCCATTTCCTTCTATGAGGGTGTACCCCCCCCCAAAAAAAAACACAAAAGAAACCCGGAATTGCTCTGGGCAGAGCAGAGCTTTCATAGTGCATGCACATTTTTCCCACTAGGCGAGTAGCGAGTAACTTGCTCTGAGTTAGTGTACCCAGCAACATCGCCTGGAAAAGTTCTTTCCGGTCACAGTGAATTTTTTCATAAAAGCAGTTTCGCCTGAACCACGTTTTTTTTGTGATGGCCAATCTAAGAGAACAGCATGTGGGTGTGAACTTTGTTTCCTGCTCAGGGAAAATGCCACAGAAACTGTTGTGATGTTGAACACAGCTTACAAGGACAGCGCTATGGGAAAAACTCAAGTGTATGAGTGGTTTTCTCATTTCAACGAAGGTGAAATGTTGTTTGATGACCAACCTCATTCTGGGTATCTCTCAACTTCCCAGATGGACAAAAATGTCCACTCCTAGTGCATTTGGAGCTTGTTTCACCAGGTCAGATTGTTAATCAAGCTTCTATTTAGGGGTTCTGAAAAGATTGCGTAACAGTGTGAGGGGGGAAAAGGCCTGATTTGTGGCAAACGGGGACTGTTTTTGCCACCACAACAATGTGCCTGGTCACGCAGCCATGTCAGTGCACCAGTTTTTAGCAAAAAGCATGTCGCTCTTGCCCCAGGCTCCTGACTCACCTGAACCCACTCTGTGCAACTTCTTTTTGTTTCCATGCATGAAGAGGGACATGAGTGGACAGAGATTTGACGACATAGATGAGGTGAAGGAAAA